TTTTTTTTTTTTTTAAATATAAACATCACAGTGGGATGGGTGTTGAGGTTACACCCCCGACCTGTTAATATAATGACCCAGAGAAGGCTAAAATTTCTAATTTCTACATCAATGTCAAAAGTATATAAAGCATCATAAAAAAAAAACCAAAAAATACAAGGAACACAAAATATCTGATGAGGATCTAAAGTCAAGTCCTCATGAAAGGTCGTCCTAGTCAAGGTGTCCTGGCATGAAGTCCAAAACGAAAGTCTAGTCAGGATCAGGTGGTGGCGGCCGTCCGAATCTGAAGGATGGGTACTCTAGCTGGTCCATCCGAATAAGGGTCCGAAGCCGGAGGAGAATGTCCTTTGGATGAAGGATGCGTCTCTGAGGTATAGATGTCCCCGTGCTAGCAAGGATATCAGCGGGGCAGTTCTCCTCTCGGAATATGTGTGGACCTGGTAGTGGATCGAGCGGAGGGTGTCTCTGATGCGCATAAGGGGGTGCTCGATCTGCCATGAGCCCTGGTGGCCAGATGTCAAAAGTGTGATGACAGCTGCAGTATCCATCTCTATCCAGATATGGGAGGAGATCGAGGCGGCAATCTCAAGACCAATCTGGAGCGCCTGAATCTCTGCATCATAACTCGAGGAGGCCCAGAGTGGCCCATGGAAGGCAGAGATGAGTGCCCCACCATGATCCCTAATCAGGCCCTCTCATCCAGCAGCTCCGGTATGTCTGTCGAATGCGCCGTCTGTGTTTAGCTTAACCCAAGGAGGCTTGGGTTTCAGCCAAACAACGGTCTTGGGTCGTGGGTGCTGGACAGGTAAAGGAGTTGGTGGCCACAATAGATGAGGCGGTGTACAACCTGTCTAGTCTCTCGTCGTGAGTATGCCCAGGGCGGTGAGGAGAGAGAGGTGTTTGTCAACCTGCAAAATGATGTGAGCACAAGAAAATATAATATCCTTATGCTTCGCATTATTCCTCTCTGTCCAGGTGGCCATAGGATCAGACAAGGAATAAGGAAGCCCACGTGTCTACTATGTGTGCGGTGTGAGAAAAAACTCAGGAGCTCAAAAAAACTGTCTGTAGTGGGTAAGGGTATATGAGTATATATGGCATAGTGCTCCCACACTCTCTTCACAATCTCACTCTCAAGGAAAAGATGGGTGAATGTCTCGATCTCAAAGGTACCAATCTCGGCACAACAATGGCAACGGGAGGGGAAGGAGAACCCCTCTCTTGCATCACGGTGTCAATGGGAATGCACCGTAATATGAGGCGCCACAAAAAGACGGAAATGGTCGGGGTGAGAAGGTCGGTCCAGATGGCCCCGAAGAGAAGGTTAGGCCGGTTACCGCACCTCACATCTCCCCAGGCCGAGGACGTAGAGAATGCACCCGAAGATGTAAGTCTTCACCTCATGCCATCCAAACCTCCCTCCAGAATGGGAATCTGTCGGATCTGGTCAATCTCTAGACTAATGAAACCCCCACCCTCACCTAGAATATCCTCCATCTTATCTCTATCCCAAAATCCCCCCGTCCAAAGGTCCTTCACCTACATGAAAGGCCTGTGAGTGACCTGCCTAGTACTCGAAAGGGGGGCCTCGCCGAACCACCACTCATCCCAGAGACTAACCTTCCCAGAACCCAAGGTCCAAAAAATGTGTTTCTGAGCATGCCTGCCAACAACGGTGAGCCGTCTCCACTGTCGGCTATCTCGAGCAGTGGCTGTCACCCTGCAAGGATGGGCAGCTCCACCAGGGCAATACTTCCTAAGGAGGTATTAGCCCCAAAGGGACTTGCCCTCCCTAAGGCTCCACCACGTCCTGTAGGAAAAAAAAAGTGACAACATCAGAGAAACGCCGAATCCCGAGACCACCCTCAGAATGGGGACGACATTGTTGGCGTTATATACTTAAGCTTTGCTTTAGTGTATATTACACTTGTTATTTCTTGATGGATGAGAATTATGTTTGGTTAAATAAGTTCCACGTTCTGTTGTTTTGCATGTAGATAAGTGGGTCGTCATCGGGCGTACCGAAGATCACTATATCAGTTACTTGCGAAACAAGAATCATTGGTTCACAACCTAGATGGAATTGAACAACCCATCGGAACGGTTGTAGTGTCAACCGTACGGTTTGTCTTGACCGATTAGTTGCACTAGTACATTTATGTATTAAACAGGATCCCAGAGAGGGATGTTCGTTTATACTGATCGTCGTAAACGAACTAGGCCTAAGTTAATTATTGCGTGCTCTTAAATCGTAAGATATTAAATAGGCATGTGCACATAATTGTTGTTGCTTCGATTCTTTGGGTGAGATCCAAGCCGGTTCGACGTACTTAATGAATTCGGTAATGACATTATGTGTTCGATGTGCTATTAGGATATTTACGGTCACCATGTGCGTTAGTCTGATGATGTCCCCGAAGTGAGTTCATGAAGGAATATTATGCTAAACCCTGCAGGTGGATTTATTCCGGCATACTATGAATGCTATGAGCGAGCGCTAGATTCGGTAATATAATATATTAATTAATTCTTGATTATTAGTGATCGAATTAATTAGTGGACATTATATCTTAAACATGGGGAGGTAAATCGGATAATTATAATAAGGAGTCTCAAATGTAATTTGGGATAGGTGAGGGGAGTGCAATAATATTATTGTGGTGGACTTTAATATTATTAATATATTATTTGTGGGGTTGCTCCACAGTATTAATATATTAGAAGCCCTTATCCTATTCTCCTTAGGGTCCCTACTGTAGCTCTATATATACAGCATTAGGCTCTTGGAAGAGAAGGCAACAATCCCATATCCTTGGGAATTCGTCCGCCCCCTCTCTCTCTCTCTCTCTTCCAAGGAGTTGTTCTATTTCTTGTGCTCCACTGATACAAGATCTAGATAGCTGTTTGAGAATACAGTAGAAGATCTTAAGGTATATACGGGATTCCAATCAAATTTATCATCCATCCAAACCGGAGACCAAAACCAGCAAGTGACCATACCACGACGACCAGGACGACGAGCTGGAGAGATCGCCGTCGAGATCTCCGCCAGACGCCGCCGCACGCGCCCACACGCGCCACCGGAAGATAGCAGCTGCTGGGACTCACACGCGCGCGTGAGAGCGCGTGAATGCTCCGTTTTCTGACTGGTCAACGCCGTTGACTTCGCCGTGACGCCAGCTTCCTGGATTGGTCAAGTTTGTTCGATTCCAAGAAGATTTGATTTGCGGTCATCTGTTCGGGCCAGCCAGATCTACATAAATTTCAAGCCGTAAGTTTTCTACATCAAACCTTTAGATCCGCTGCGCATAGGTTTATGTTGAATGTTTGTCCGTGATTTGTGCATATCGAGATCCTCATAGGTCCCAACAATTGGTATCAGAAAACGAGGTTAATCTGTTATGTACAAGATCCGGATTAAACGACTTATATTGTCTATGTGTGCTCAAGCGCA